TAAGAACACCATAATTATCAAGAATCTCCCGATATCAAGATCACCCATGGAATTATCCCATCAATCATCAATAATAACATCACAAATCATCAATACACAATAATATGGGGAAATCCTACGGGGGAAATCATAGCTATGAAAATAGGTTTTGTTGAGACATGGGTTACCTCTTAGCCTTAATTAATTCCTTGGCTATGAAGGGTCTTTCTTTAAGCTTTCTTGCTTTCTTGATTTCTTCTAAGGGAATTCTTGGAGCTCTTTTGGGGTGGTGAGTCGTTTATTGTGGTGGGGGGGTTCTAGGTGCCTCTTAAGTCCCCTATATATATATATTTAGGAGTCCTGATTAGGAACTAATATTATAGGCTTGCTAATTCTATACCTTTTGGAACTAAGGATTGGGTTTAGGGATAAGGGCCCATGGACTACGGTGGGCCTCTTTCCCTAATTAATTATTATAATTTATTCTTTCTCTAGGGCTATGGGTTAATTAATTAATTGGTTTTAGGGGTCGTAACACGGGGTGTTACACTAGAGGGGCGGATCACAGACGAGCAGAATGCACATCTGATCCGTGATATGACAGAGGTAGAAAATAAAGAGGCAGAGTTCGCAATGCACCCGGACAAATCCCCAGGGCCTGATGGACTATCCCCGGCTTTCTTTCAGACTCATTGGGACGTGGTCGGTGATGAGGTAATCTCCTTCTGCCAAACTTTTCTTTGCTCTGGTTGTTTACCTGATCGTGTCAATGAAACCCATATTGTGTTGATTCCTAAATGTAAATCCCCTGTGTTGATGACTGAATTTCGCCCTATCTCTTTGTGTAATGTTATTTATCGTATCTTGTCAAAAGTCCTTGCAAATAGGCTTCGGGGGTTATTGGATTTTATTGTCTCCCCTGCTCAAAGTGCCTTTATACCGGGTAGATCAATTGTTGACAATGTTATGATTGCTTATGAGTCTACCCATTGTTTGAAACGCCAGTCTAGTAGTTGAGGGGGTTTTGCGGCACTAACGGTTGATATGAGTAAAGCTTTTGACAGGGTGGAATGGGGTTTCTTGTGCCAGGTCTTGTTAAAGTTGGGTTTCAGTGAACATTGGGTTAACTTGATCAGGGAGTGTGTTACAACTGTTCAATACAATGTCCTTGTAGAAGGGAAGGAGTGGGGGCCTATTGTCCCGGGTAGAGGTTTGCGTCAAGGAGACCCTTTATCACCTTGTTTGTTTATCCTAGTGGCTAAGGGGCTTAGTGCGATGTTAAGAGCCAGAGAGGATGAGGGGGCCTTACATGGTCTTCGTGTGGCAAGAGGGGCACCCTCCGTGTCCCACTTGTTTTTCGCATATGATTGTTTTTTCTTCTTCAGGGCAAATAATTTGGAGGCCGGTATTGTTGGGGAGGTTTTGAGGGTGTACGGAGTAGATAGCGGACAGAAGGTCAACTTCGATAAGACCTCCGTGGTGTTTGGTAGAAATGTTCATAGGGAGGATAATGAGGCTGTTTGTGAAACTTTGGGGGTTCATGAACAGCAGGGTCGGGAGAGATATTTGGGGCTGCCAGGCTACGTCGGCCGAAAAAAGAGGGAGATATTGGGGTTCATTAAGGATAGGATTAGAACTCGGATTATGAATTGGGGGAACCGGTACTTGTCAAGGGCAGGGCGTGAGGTGCTTCTAAAAACAGTGCTCCAAAGTTTACCGAATTATGCTATGAATGTCTTCCTCCTTCCGAAGGGGTTATGTACTGAGATTGAACGCCTTATGAATTCCTTTTGGTGGGGTTGTGAGCGAAGGGAACGAGGGGGGATAAGGTGGAGTACTTGGGGGGACTTATGTAGGCCAAAACATCTTGGGGGAATGGGTTTCCGAAGTGTCCGGGAAATGAATATGGCTATGTTGGGGAAGCAAGGGTGGAAGTTTATGAAAAATCCAAATGTTTTGGTCACTCGCATATTTAAAGCAAAGTATTTTCGGGCTTGTTCTTTCCTTGAAGCAAGTTTGGGCTCAAACCCCTCTTTTGTATGGTCTAGTATTTGGGAAACTAGGAGTTTATTGGGTGAGGGAGTGAGGTGGCGAGTTGGGGATGGAAACACTATTCGTGTATGGGGGGACCCTTGGCTACCCGATAACACCTGCCCTTATATTTCAACACCCGAACCTGATTACCTACAAAACCCAACTGTCAATTCTCTCTTTAGATTAGGGTCAAAGTCGTGGGATCATGAGCTATTATGTGACATTTTTTGTGAGCGGGATGTGTATCAAATACTGAGCGTCCCGATTCCTACTTTGAGTGCCCATGATTCTATTTGCTGGAGGGGAGATGAGAGAGGAGACTATTCGGTAAAGAGCGCATATAGGATAGCCTCGGGTGAGATGGGGGAGGCTAGTACGGTGTGGTCGGTTCTGTGGAAATTGAATATCCCACCAAAAATGAAATGTTTTTTCTGGAGCCTATGCACTTATCAGCTTCCTACAAAAGATGCTTTGTCAGCAAAACGGGTTCCTTGTGATCTTTTGTGTCCTCTATGTGGCCTGGAAAATGAAAGTATTATTCATCTCTTTGCTAACTGTGTCTTTGCTCGTCAGTGTTGGCATGTGGTCAATGACCAATGGGCTCTATCTTATGCTGATACGCTTGAGGGGTGGCTCGAGGAAATGTGGACGAGTCTGGCCAAGAAGACGCTTGAACGAGTCGTAGCGATATGCTATGCTCTTTGGGAGAACAGGAACTCAATGGTTTGGCGACAACAAATGATATCTCCAGTGGCTTTGGTACAACAAACTGTGTCTTTCCTATCCAACTGGAAGGCTGTCCGCAAGCACTCAAACAGTCCCCCTCAAAGCACAATGACCACTGCAGATCACCTTCTCCCCCAAGGGGCTGTGCGAATTTCTGTTGATGCTGCCTTCGACTACAATAACAAAAGAATGGGTTTTGGCGTATGCATGCGAGACAGTGAGGACCTTGTGCTGGGTGTGATAATCTATGCTAAGGACGGCCTGTATGCTGTGCGCGAAGCTGAAGAGATAGCGGCTCGAGAAGCTCTTAGCTGGTTAAAGGAACATGGATGGCAACGATTTGTGCTTGAGACGGATGCCCAAACAGTAATGACAACCGTCAATGCTGGTCCAACGAAGACGCCGTTTGGTTTCATTGTTGAAGAGATCCACACTTTGCTTTGTCTTATGCCCTTTGCGGTTTTCGCTTTGTGCCTCGAGCTCGTAATATGATTGCTCACTCTTTAGCTAGACATGTTTTACGTTTGAGGGGGAGGACGTGTTTGAGTCTTTTGACTCTCTTCCCCGCTTTATTTCTGCTCATTGTGTTTGAACTTGGTTCTTTTAATCTATTCTGGTTGTGTTTTGTTTCAAAAAATAAAATTTACACTTTTTGCCATTGTACTATTTTTTTTTAACTTTATACTACACCTTTATTAAAGGGTGTAGTATGACTTATATGCTCATTTTTGTAGTAGTGTCAGAAGCTGCTATATTGTGCAGCAATGGAGTCAGATCGTCGTCTTCTTTTATGTTTGTAGCAGCGCAGTTGAGGAAGTAGTGGAGAGATGGCGTCGTGTGTAGAGAGATGGTGTAACAGTTGAGAAGTAGCTTTTATATATATATATATATATATATATATATATATATATATATATATATATATATATATATATTAAAAATGTCGCGCATCTAACGGCGACGTCTCTCCTTAAGTGGAGAGACTGCATCGTTTTAGACCATGGTCTACACAGTTGTGTGGACCATGGTCCATGCAATAACAATTGATACTGTCTATACTGCCAATTGCATGATACTCTCAATAGCAATTGTTATATCATGGACCAAGGTTTCATATTGCATTGTGAATTCTGATACAAAAATTTTGTACCTTCAGTTAACACATTCTGTACCTATAGTTAACAGTTTCTGTACATTTAAACAAATAACTTGATAATTGTTGACACATAATATGATAGCTATAGGTACATAAACTATCAACTGCAGGTACATAATGTGTCATTTATAGATACAAAATTTGAATGTTATTTTTGGATAATTGCTGACACAATATGATAGCTACATGTATAGAAACTATCAACTACAGGTACATAATGTGTCAACTATAAAAACAAAATCTGAAGGTTATTTTTGGATTAGGGTCTACAATTCAAGGTAGACCCTGGTGCATGGTATAATTTGCTTCCCAATAGCCCAAAATAAATAATTTGGCAAATTATGTTGTGGACCCAAGTCCAAAAATAAACAATTTATATACTGAATTTTCACAATTTAAATACTGAATGTTCACAATTATATACTAATGTTCACAATTTACATACTGAATGTTCACAATTTACATACTGAATGTTCATAATTTTATATATTAAATATTCACAATTTACATACTGAATGTCCACAATTTGAATTCTGAACATTCAATATGTAAATTGTGAATATTCAATATTTTAAATTGTATATTTTGCTATGGATCCACCTTGTAAAATGGACCCGGTCCATGGCATAACTATTGAAATAATTTATCCCAATATCAAAGCAAAACTCAATTAGCTGTTAGCCCTACCCTCTGGCAAATTATATCGCGCACCGCGGTGCATAATCGATTATGTACCGCGCATCAAAACGACGTCGTTTTATTTAATGAAAAAAAAAAAGAATTCGTTTCGCGCCGTTCCGTAAAAATTAACTCCGTTATTCAATTTTATTTTGTATACACTGCAGTTTCATTCACCACAACTACAGTATCATTTTGATATAACTAGAGTTTCATTTGATAATATAAAAATAATACGTGAGACAGTGTCGGTTTAGATACACTGTAGTGTCATTCCGTTAACACTAACAACGCGCCCGTTTCTTTACTAAAGAAACGACGCCATTTTTATCCGCGGTGCACAATCAATTATGCACCGCGGTCCACAATATAACGACTGCTACCCTCTCTCAAAGTCTCAGACTCTTCTCTAATCTCCATTCTCCACTCCACTCTCTGTCTCGACCAGAGTACTCCTGCAATCTGACGGTCCGACCAGAGTACCGAACGGCATACGACTCTCTGTGTCTCCGCCTCACGCCATCCGCCCTCATCCAGTTGTCCTCTGTCCTCGCCTCCTCGGTCGCAATCAACACTCGACACTCAGTCGTCCTCGGCCCTCAGCCCTCGACCCTCAACAGACAACAGTCAACATTTCCTCAGTCCTCAAGGTAAATTTTTACTTATTTTACTTAGTTTGTAATGTCATTACTTATTACTGTGTTTAGACTTGGCAGTTAGCATTTGCAATTTTTGCTTTGTACTTTGTAGGATTATTTGGAGTTATTTTGGACTTGTGGTTTGTTATATTTTATATTTAGACTTTTTGATAGTGTAATTCCCTACTTATTTTGGATTTGGAATTATACAGTATTGCACTTGCACATTATAATTTTTAATTATTAATTGTAGAATAATTTGTTAATCTTTAGCTGTTTCGGTCAGTTACAGCATTTATCTCGGTCTGTCGGTTTAAGTCGGTTATAGCAATTACTTCCGTACTTCGGTCTCAGTCGGTTATGACTTTTAAAAATTTCCTAAGGTTTTTTGCTCAGTTATGTAACCAATTGACTGCTTGCTCACCCCTAATTGCACATTAGAATTTTTAATTATTAATTATTAATTGTAGAATAATTTGTTAATCTTTCGGGTTTTTGGTAACCGACATAACTGACCGAAACTGACGGTTGGTTACAGCATTTACTTTGGTTAGTTATGACGGTTAAAAATTCCCTTCGATTTTTCAATCGGTTATGTAACTTACTGACCGTTTACAGCACCCTAACTGAAATACCATTTGTTTTCCTTTTTTAATTTGAATTATTTCCGGATTTTCACAACTTCATTTATAGTGTTGGAGAAGCTCTGAGCTCATATGGGATTTGTTGAGTCCGGCGATGAACTCCTTTCATTGAAAAGTATTGAGAGTAAAAACTGTAACTCTCAAATGGCGCTAGTTCAACTATTCACCAACGCCACTAGTAGCTGCCTCACCATTATTATGGTAAGTGAATTCAAATTTGAGAAAATGGAAGGAGATGAATTGGGGAACTGATAAGTTTGGATTAGAAATGATTGTTTCAACTTGAGAATGGAAATACGTTATTTCATTTAATTTGTAAATATGAATATGTAACTTGTTTGTAATGTTTAGATCCATTGGAACGTTGATAACCATGTGTTCTGTGTTTTTATTTATTTGCTTCAACACTATAGTCAATTTTTGTTTTGCTTTACGTTGCAGAACAAGGCATTTCAGAATTATTCCACAGCTCATTTGCAGTGCACAGCGTTTGGAAGTATAAGGAAAATGGAGACACTGCATCGGCAAGCAAGGATATGTTTGGAAGTATCAGGAAAATTGGTTCTTGCTTTTCATATATTCTCATTTGCTTATTAATGGTTAGATTCAATTTGACATTTAAAATTACATTCTAATCATTATATATATATATATATATATATATATATATATATATATATATATATATCTTATAAACTAAGATTGGGCTAGGGTCACTCAATTGAGCTATAATTCACATGCATCAAACCACACTAAAAGATTAAATCCAACCAATTAGTTACTTTAACCGATAGCCTTATAAATTCATATTTTCTCTCAATGTGGGACTCTTAACAGTATAAAATGTTAGTACAAGACTTGAAGCCAAAAGACATAACCCTGGAAATAGCTTTGAAGCTTTTGTCGAGTAAGGAAACTAAGAATGCAAGATCCAGGTAACGCAAGCGCCAAATAAAGGGTGAAGAACAACAGGAAAAGGTTGTAGCTGTTAGGTAATTTAGGCTCACGATATCAGATACAATGCTATTTCTTGCAAGATAGAGGACATTCTTTAGGCCTGCGGCCTGCCTTTCTTTCACAGTAATAGTTGTAAAGAGGAGATTATTTTGGATCATGAAGAGGATGTTTGTAGTGGTAAAATCCATTAAATGTAAGTAGCAGGTTACTCATTTTTTGTAGAAACCTATAATTTTTCCAAGGAAATCAATAGAGCATACATATTCTCCAAGTTTCTTATCACCTAGAATTTCAATCCATACATACATGCTGATGGATTTAATTAACCCGGGGTGGCCCGAATTATTAAACCCGGATAAGAACACGAATAGTAAATAGGTAGAAACGATGTCGTAATAGGTCGTGAAGACCGTATATCGTATTATATGCCGTAAATAGGCTATTACAATGGTTTGCTAGGACAAAGTATGTAAGTAAGATAGAATGTCCCTTGTTAGGACAAGTAGGGGGGCTTTTATACAAGCTAAACCCCCCAACTGCCTCCCCCTAAAACGGGGGGGGGGGGGGGGGGGGGGGTAGTTGGATCTCCAAGTTGACCGCGCCCGGGCCACGCGGCAGGGGTCCGACCGAGCCCGTCTGGGGCTCGGGCCGGGCCCCTCTGGAGGTCGGTCCGACCTCGTGTAGAGGCCTCGCGCCGGGGCGGGTACGAGGCACCGCCCTGGGACCCGTTATTGCTCCGCTCTCTCGGGTCGGTTTGGGTCGATTCCTAATATATCCATGATCAGTCCCCCACTCTCCGAGTTGCGAGTGATCGTCAGCGAAGGAGAGTAGATGCTCCGGCTGACCCGCCAAAAACGCCGACCCCAAGGCGCCTGCGTCCAGGACTCGCAGGTGCGTTGTCGGAACGCACTTCTTGTGATAAGTCTGAAAACTCCGCCACGAACAGGGCTTCGTCATTTGCTAGGACTCATATGCAGTAGAGTCCCAATAAATCTCATCCATCTTCCCTAGATATTTTCAAAGTCAACCCATCACATCTAGGCCGAACACACCTCCAACACACCCCGAACACACCTCCAACACACCCCCACGGCAGCGAGAGGTAGGCCACGACCCCACGGGTAGGGGTCCATTACCGACCTCCAGTCGACCCCTCAAGAGTCAAGCCGGGGCCTTGCCGACCTTGGCCCTGACTCGAGGCCGGGCTCCTCCTAGTTTCATGTGTGCGTTTTTTTTAATTTTTTTTTAATGATGATCACTCCCGTCGGGGTTGGTACGCGAGGTCGGGCCTCGTGCCCCCTTAGGGTGCGATAGCCGCTCCGACCTAGCTCATTCGAGCCTAGGTACTTCGGCTCTTCCGTCGGGGTTGGTACGCGAGGTCGGACCTCGTGCCCCCTTAGGGTGCGCTACCCGGATGAGCTAAGTCCTGTCGGGCTAGGCCATCGGACTCTCCCGTCGGGGTTGGTACACGAGGTCGGACCTCGTGCCCCCTTAGGGTGCGCAAGCCGCTTGGGCCTAATCCTGCTGGACTAGGCCACTGAGCTCTTCCGTCGGGGTTGGTACGCGAGGTCGGACCTCGTGCCCCCTTAGGGTGCGCTACCCGCATGAGCCTAGTCCTGCCGGACTAGGCCGTCGGGCTATCCCGTCGGGGTTGGTACGCGAGGTCCAACCTCGTGCCCCCTTAGGGTGCGCAAGCCGCTTGGGCCGAGTCCTGTTGGACTAGGCCACCGAGCTCTTCTGTCGGGGTTGGTACGCGAGGTCGGACCTCGTGCCCCCTTAGGGTACTAGCCTTTAGACCCAGGTCGTGCGACGCCAGGCCGTTAAGCTCTTCCGTCGGGGTTGGTACGCGAGGTCGGACCTCGTGCCCCCTTAGGGTATAGTTGGAGGGGTTATGCGGGTCCATCTCTCGCCCCCCGTATTAAAAAGTAGTGAAAATAAGTCCATAGCGAAATTTTTACTAACTTTATTTAAATGAAGGGGACGGACCACCTCTTGAAATTTTCACCGGGGTACATGCATCATAGTGGGGTGCTGCTATAGGACCTCTTGTAGAGTGTATCACCGAGTAGTAGGTAGGTTCCCCTTACCCGCTTGGCATCGGCCATGTCAAGGGGAAAGAAACCCACAATAGGTTCTTCCATTAGGTAGTGAGCGGGGGCGTCCCCCCTATACTACCGTTAGGGAATGCCAAAGTCGGGGCCGGCGCGCACGAGGAGGTCAGCCGAGGCCGGGGTCGGCACGACCTCGGCGCGTGAGGTCGGCACGACCTCGGTGCGTGAGGCCGGCATGACCTCGGCGCGGGAGGTCGGCCGAGGCCGGGGTTGGCACGACCTCGGCGCGGGGCGTCGGCCGGCCTCGACGTGACACCGGCGCAGGAGGTCGGCCGTGGGCCGCGAGGCCGTGGCCTGTCTTTCGCCGCCGCACCAGCGTCACCACGCTGGCACCATAACAGGGGAACGAGGTAGAAGGAGGGGCGTACCGTGCTCGGGCTTACGGCTTGGCAATGGGGTCAGCAGGAGGTGGCGGGCAGTTCGCCGGAGTGAGCTGTCGCCGTGGACTCGCCGGAGCTCGGGGCCATCGGAAACTTGGGGGACTCGCCGGAACTCGGTGGTGGTCGCCGGAAAATTTGGGGGGAGGGAGTTGTGTGAGAAGAGTGTGGAATGAATGGGGAAGAGAGGTTTATATAGATGAGGAGGAGGGAGTTTGAAGGTGAGTTCAAAATTCGAAATTGAAAAAGAGGGGGGAAAGATGAAGGGATGGATGTGATGGATTGAGGAGATGAAGAGATGGATATGACGGGTTAACTTGGGAAGGTGATTGAGATCTATGAGGACACTATCACTTAGGAGTCCTGACAGGTGAAGATCCTAACAGATGGAGGAGCCATGTTCGCGGCGGGGTGTTGTCGCGAAGGGTGCGTTTCGTGCGCGCGCCCGCGGGTCTTTGACGCGGACGCAGGGGGTCAGCATCTCGGACGGGTCGGCCGGAGCTTTGACTCTCCTTCATTGACGATCACTCGCAACTCGGAGAGTGGGGGACTAATGATGGATATATTAGGCATCGACTCGAACCGATCCGAGAGCGCGAGGCAAGAACGGGTCCCGGGGCGGTGCCGCGTACCCGCCCCGGCGCGAGGCCTCGACACGTGGCCTCTGCACGAGGCCGGACCGACCTCTATACGGGGTCGGACCGACCTCCAGAGGGGCTCGGTCCGACCCCCGCCGCGTGGCCCGGTCGCGAAACCGGACGCGGTCAACTTGGAGATCCAACTACCCCCCATTTTAGGGGGAGGCGGTTGGGGAGTTTAGCTTGTATAAAAGCCCCACTACTTGTCCTAACAAGGGACATTCTATCTTACTTACATACTTTGTCCTAGCAAACCATTGTAATAGCCTATTTACGACATATAATACGATATACGGTCTTCACGACCTATTACGACATCGTTTCTATCTGTTTCCTATTCGTGTTCTTATCCGGGTTTAATAATTCGGACCACCCCAGATTAATTAAATCCATCACATGTTGACATGTAAATTTTTTGCTAATTTAAATTACATGATATTGAAAAAAAAAAAAAAAAAAAAAAAAAAAAAAAAAAAAAAGAAGGAGGAGTTAACCTCTTAAAAATTAACTGACATTTAAAACAGTCCAAAATTGTGTATGAACAAACAACATAAAAACAGTAAGGAAAGCATGCCATCAAATAGATTGCTTCAGGTAAACAGGTTCGTTCATATATATATATATATATATATATATATATATAGGGATGCACTCAGATGCGAATAAGTGTCCAGGAAGGAATATGCGAACGAATCAGCGCGAGACACGTGTCCAGATCTAATAACTTAAAAAAAAAACGCAATGGCATTTTTATAAATAATTGAACATCAGAGTGCAAGTAAAATCACTTACAAGTGCACCTACTTTCACCTATAAGCAGGGGCGGAGCCAGAATTTTTGTTCAGTGGGGGCGGAACATTACAACAAAAAGATAGTTTGAAAAATAAAATAAAACACTTAAGAAGTTATCCATAAATATTGTTGGATATAGACAAAAAATAAAACACATCAAAACATTATAAAAATATTTATAACAAAATATGAAATATAATTAATTTGATATAATAATTTGTATGTGTGTAAAAATCTAAAGTAATTTTAAAAACTGACTCACTATTAATAATAGTGAAGCCATAAAAGTGTAGAACAAGCAACTATTAATAAAAATAATGAAAGTCTAGGCTATAGCCATATGAGGGATTCGAACCCGAGCACTCTCATTGTATAACATTTTATGTTTTCTTCTATTTATACTATAACTTGTACTATATATACATATATAGATACAATGTTATATATGGGGTGGGGGTGGGGGGAGTGGGAGCAGCTGCCCCCACTGCCCCCATTGTAACTCCGCCCATGCCTATAAGTGCATGTAATTTTGTCTTGTTAGCATTCACTTCCCGCAAACATTCATGCACCTGGGTGTGCTTATAACAATAGGTGCAACTATTTATAACTATAGGTGCAACTACTTATAACTATAGGTGCACCTACTTTCACCTATAAATGCATGTAATTTTGCCTTGTTAACATCCATTGATCTGAGTTCAGCGGGTAATAATACCCCTGAAAACCACTCGCAAACATTCAAGCACCTAGGTGCAACTACTTATAACTATGTGTGCAACTACTTAGAACTATTGGTGCAACTACTTATAGCTATAGGTGCACTTAGTATTGATGCTCAGTCTAAATTTTTACTTGCACCTATAATACATTTTACATGCACTTTTAATACATTTTACTTGCACTTCGATGTTCAATTATTTATGAAAATGCCACCGTGCTTTTTTAAAAAAATCAGTGTTTCTCATCCATTAGATCTGGACACGTGGACGGACAGAATCCATTCCTATTTCGCGCCTGGGCAAAGCATTCGCACCTGAGTGCGATTATATATATATATATATATATATATATATATATATATATATATATATATATATATATATATATATATATATATATATATATATATATATATATATATACTAGTTTTTTACGCGCATTGCGCGATTGGGATAATGCCCAATGTTTTTTTTTTTTAAATAAGTACTTTAAAGTATATTAAGGCAAGATTATATAGAAATTGTTCATGCATAGATAATTGAAAGTTGAATTTGCGTATTTAAATAGGTAATTCTTCTCCCAAAGGTTGAGTCCCCAACCCCAAGGGTCCCCCCACACTCCGACCCGACAGAG